CATTTGCTCTGTAAACATAAGACTTGATGTGGTTTAAACAGACCATCTTCACAAGTTCAAATCCATGGTGTCCAACCTTCATACATGTTGCAAAGACTGTCAACGCTCGTGGCTTGCTTAAGTAGACATTCAATTTGCTCCCCGAAACTACTCTCTCTGAGAATACACAAAAGATTCAATGTCAATACCAATTATGACCAAGAACCCATCCAGATCCCCAGAAGCAGCAGTTACCTATTGTCAGCAATGTCTCGACCAACTAGTTTCATCTCAACCGACAAAAAACCTTAACGGCTCTGCCCAATCCCATTTTTCTTCTCCTTTCGGCTCAACTTGTTCAGAGACATTTTTAGTGTTTAATAAGCTTATTAGTCTCAGCAATTGTGTTTACAGAATAATTTCCTACATAATACATATACATATATATATATATATGTATGTATATGTGTGTGTGTGTATATATATATATATATTATCCAATTACTTCTTTGTTCATACAGAAGAAATAAAAGAAATAACAAGTAGATAAACAAAAGGCAAGAAATGAAACAATAACTATCCATGCAGAGGAGAGTGAAAAAAAAAAGACAGGTAGAAAAGTTTATAGGACAGCACGATACTTACCCCTGCCGACTCGGGTAGAACGACTTTCATCTTTAATTTTGGCCTTGTTTAGTGAGGATATTTCATCTTTACTCCCAAACATCTCCTGTGTGTTCTCATTCACAGGACGCGAAATATCAGGACAGACAGCTGCAGATTCATCACCTGGTGTTGACTTTGGGACACTAGGTATCGACTTAAAAAAGCCAATATGAGTGTTATCAACCTCTGCGTACTTTGATTCCAACTGTACAGAACCTGAGATTTCTGGGCTATCATTTATAGAGCCAGGAGCAGTGTTTTGATAATCTGTACCCTCTCTGCTACTAGGACCATGCAAAAGCTGTTGTCCTATATCTTCTGGATCGTTGAAGCTACCTGGTAAACTCTCTTCAGCTAAGGTAATGCCAGACACGGTACTACTACTGCCGATACTATCTGGCGGAGATGACCATCCTTTAGATTCCAAAGGAAGTCCAGTAATGCCAAGAAAATCATTGTTGCTTTCACTGTTTGACATAGAGAGGTTCTCTCTCTCTTCCTTTTCATCAAATCCAGTAGCATCAGAAGTAAGATCTGGCCTCGATACATCAATTAGTGGTGATTCCACTTCCTGGCTTTCTCCTAGTCCTTCAAGAGCCCATCAAAGATGAGAGAGAAAGGGTTTACATTTAGTCAACGCACTGTTGTAAAAAAATAATAATAAAATAAAATAAAGATGATTTATGTCAATACTGTTGACATACTTTATGAAGATTTCCAGCATGAAGACTTGCAGTTCGTGCAAGCCTGGTCAACATATAATAGAGCCCCTTGACGGATGATGTGAGGGAGGGCACCAAGGGCTCTAAGGCCTGACGAACCTCCCTAATTCTTAAAGAATACGACTGGTATATGGCTTGTCCATGAATGGGAGATATTTCCATCTTGGTCTCTCTTTCCCTAGCCATAACATCCTTGGACAAAACTGTTTCCAGTGGAAGAAGAATTGCATTTGCTTGTCCAATATGTATCAAACAGCATGTATGGTTATGTACATACTCAGTAAATAATCAGATCTAGTTGTATTTGCATAAATAAATAAATAAAACTCGCAGAATAAGTAAAACCGCAATTAATAAATGTAAAAAGGATATAAAACTTCATTTGTGAGATGAGGAAAACCTTTGAAAGTTCCTCCACAAGAGAACGATGTACTGCAGCAGCCTCCTTTCCCAGACTGTGAACATCATGTAGGTCTTCAGTTATTGCAAGCACCTATCCGAAGGAGAAGCATTAGCCATATAACGAAGCCATCCCCAATCAAACAAAAAGTTGAAAATGACAAGAGTAATTGAATCCCAGTTGATAGAATCCTTGTGAAACTGTTATTGCAAAAGTAAAGGAAAGTAAAGGAAAATTCAGTTGATAGAAGGCCTGATAACAGGAAGATGCAATGGTATTTCAATAATCTATCATAAAGATCATAGGCAATCTATCCATCAACTTTATTTCATATGCATAATTAGATTGCTGAAAGAAACAGCATTCATACAGAACCAATGTCATAAATAAGAAATCAAATGATTTGGGTACCACAAAGGGAAGCAGGTCCTATGAATAATAGGATGGTTTTGAGGAATCTGTAGGTGGCAGCAGAGGGAGTTATGGAGAAGGCTCGTTTGTGGTCTTCATTATGAGCTTCGGTGTCGTCAGATTTTAAATATTTGTGATTTTCATGTAGCTGCCTTCATTGGAAAACTGCCATCAGTTAGCTTCTTGCGTTTTCTTGTTTACATTTTAGGGGTTCATTTTTGCTTTGCTAGTTTTCTGTGGACTTCCTGTCCACTCGTGTATTTTTATTGTCTTAATGAAACTAATTATTACAATTGAAACTAACTATTACAATTGAGTTTTTTGAATAATTGTAAGGACTATTAGTGTATATTGTTATTGAACATTGGTGACGCACATTTTTGGTAATTTCTATTTAACACATCCAAAATCCAATGTGTGGTACAGTTGTTAGTTGTTACACATGAAGGGAGTGTTAGTGGATATTGTCCGGTGCTGGCCTGCTAATAGAAATAGCAGTAAAGTAGCAAAACTAAACAGTGACGACCCACCAATGTTGCGTATATAGAGTCTCTGCTTAGTAGGAATACACTGATTTATATTGATCCAATACACTAATGTACCCAATCAAACCGCCACGCACATTACCATATCTCAATCATGAAATATAAATTCCAGCGTAACGTGCATCACAGCATATAAACAACAGACCAACCACCGTAAAATTAGTAATACTGCTCCAATGGCAATATCAATTAGCATCAAAATTTTAACTCATACCTCTTCAAGCATGGAACCACATTCAGAAGTCAAAGTAGAATGACGATTTGAAACACGGGCATATGCCCCAAGTGCAACACTGGCTTCGCATGCACAGTCACTCATTGCAAGAACAGTGCTTTGTAAATGACCTGTAAATGACAAAAACCAGCAGGTCTCACATGATTTACAGATATATAGTATGTATAGCACAGATGTGTGTGTGTGGGCTCCTAGCATATAAGAGTGAAGGATGTATCCATTGGTATATGTGGAAAAGAAGGTTTGACCAGAAGCGGACTTTGCTTTGAGAGTGGCAATACTAAGTTCATTGGTTGCAGAAGACAATCCACTGGAAGCAGTTTCCACGGTGCTTTGTGCAAGCTTCCATTCTTGTTCAGTGCCTAATACAGGAAACACCAAAGCACACATTAAGGACTCGTATGGATGAGAAGTTGGTATCAGAAACAAGTTGATTATCAAACAACATTCCAAACTCACGAGCAAAAGAATTGTAACTAATATCCAATCTTTTTAGTGCATTCAAGTAAGCTTGCTGCCATGTTTTGCCATCAGTGCCAGTCCTGAATGGGTACATCTCTTCGGGAGATCGGAAAATACCCTCTCTTGATGCTTCAAACTCCAATATAGACAAGCAAATTCTAATAATATCTGATGCCTTTTCCCTAACTTGCCATATTAGTTGCCTTCGCCTGATTTGATGGTCATGAAATTCGGGAGGAATTCCAGACTTCTTGCTTGAACTATTTCCAGCTGCACTGGAGTTTGGGCCACCACAAGCCCACCCCATTGCTCTCTCAAGCTGCCCTTCAGCTGCCAGAGAAGTTCGTTCACAAGCTTGCAGTGACTCCATAGACCTGGCTATCTTTGACACAGCAGATTGCAAACTTTCCCGCATGTTAGGTCTACTGAGTGTTAAGACAATAGGGGATTTAAACTATCATCCCCAGCAAGAAATTTCTGAAACACGACCCTGCTACTGTGTGAAGGGGTCAAAGTAACATCATGCATCCATTCAATCTGAACAATCTCCAGGCCAGTCTTCCAAAGAGCCTCTCTCAGCTCATTCACCTGCCTTTTCATTAGAGATGCAGCGGAACTTGCTGCTCTGGCTGTTTCATGTGCATTGCAGAATTCCTCAAGCATAAGGTGAACCCTTTTTAAAGCCCCGACATCTCTTTTTACTTCATCAAGAGCAGCTTCCTTCGTAAACTCTGTCAATTGCTTCCGAAGCTCAATTTCTTTATCAATGCTAGCCAATAAACTAGGGACAACTCGATCTTTCAGGTATCGACCAAGATGTTCTTGAAGTTGTATTTCAAGCTTTCTCTTAACAACATTGAGGAGCTGGTCAAACCCTAAAGTTTGATCAACAGGTGAAGCTACATCATTTAGGCATGAGTCCAGAAAAGAATCAATAACACCAATTTTCCAAACAAAGAAAGAATGTTGACTCAATAAGCTGCCAACCTTCCAAACATATTCAGACATTAGGTAGCCGGCACTCATCAAATCTGCTAAGTTAGGAATCTCAGTTGAGTAAGAAGTATAAGAACCTCCAAATGAAGACAGCACTTTATCAATCAATTCCAAATCAGAAAAGGGCTTAACAAGCATGTCCAGTAGCACCTTGCTTTTCGAGACATGCAGCTCTCTTTCCTCTTTGACACTAACTAGAGACTGAACATGGTGGGCAGAAGCAGCGTGGGCATTCTTTATATTAGATTCTCTCTTTATAAGAGAGGAAGTTCGCAGGTCCCTTTGGTTCCAAGTTTGATGGAGTTGGTCCAGCTGTGCCCTACAAGCTTCTTCTTGTTAAGCAAGCTCCTCTGCCTCTTCCCATGAGAGATGATCCCTACCTTTCATAGCAGCTTCTTCAAGAGCCAACTGCTGCTCTGTAATGAGACCAACTTTAATGAAGTAGTTCTGTTCTAGTTCAACTAAAGATGCCCCCTCCATCTCTACTTCTATGAGTTGCTCAAGTGCCGTATCAATAGAACCACGAATTTGTGAGATTAGTCCAAATGCATCCATGACTTTTGATTTCAGAGAAACTACAGATCTTATTACATCCGGAAGAACAGCTTCAGTCATTTGCCCAATCAAGCTCTTAAAGGAATGTAAAATGGTTTTAAAAATGGAAGCCCAATTTCCATCAGAATAATATCCTGGACGGCCTTTATCTGTGTCATCACTAGGTAAATCTCTACCAATCAGTTGCTGCAGTTCATTAACAAACCCTGCTAGAAGTATACACTTCTCTGCTTGCTCCTCAATTCCACAGAAAATAGTTTCAAATTCCATCTGTAACTGGTTATTTGCATTTCTACGTTTATTTGAATCATTAATTATGTCGAGCACCTTATGTTTGACCTCATTGTACATATAACTGGATGCTGTGTTCAGAACAAATAAAACTTTCTCCCTTTTTTCATTCAGATCCCCACGCAATCTAGAATCCTTTGCCCCATTTCCATCATTCTTAGATTGCCCAAATTGAATGGAAACAATGGCATCTTCTCTCTTTGCAAGACCAGCTGATTGTATGAATTTCATGAAAGCAGAGCCGATCCTTAGCGTTTGATTCGGTCTCTGAGCCAACAGAGTTCGCTAGCTCCGCATACTCCTCTTCAAGCTTCTCCATCTCTAGGGCATACTTCTTTACTTTACGACACAGATCATCATGACTGAGTGTGATAGAATCAAAATTCTCCCCATGTTGTTTGGCAATAAGTTCAGCACCCTGTCTTCTAGCAAGAGATAGGGTATCAGAGGAAAGAGCACTGGCAGATAGTTGCAGAACCTGTGCCCAGCAATGAATTGCACTCGTTGTAATGTAATTTAATGGTAAAATTCTTTGCAAAGCCAAAGAATATACTTGAAGTGCATTTATCGCAGAAGAGAGACCATCATGCAGTTCAGATACTAGTTGAGAGACTTCCCTATCTATATCATAGCATTGTGCTTGTGTAGGCTCAGGAACAATAGTCAGCGGAACCCCAGCCACCAGAACGGCAGATGTAAGAGACAATGTTTCTTGCATACCACTCAGCTCAACAAAAGCATTTATTTCTTGAAGTAAATTGCCTCGTAAAGCATCAAGGATGCTCCCATGTTGTTTCCATCCAGGTTGCTGCCTCTTGAGATTTCTCAGCAACCAGGGCCTTTGCCTGAGCAAATTCTCGAGCCTGAATTTCAAACAATACACGAATTTTCTCTGAATTACTAGTGGCTTCAGCAACCATTGATCTCGCAGACGTTTCATGCAGAATTAGGCTAGACCTCTCTTGATCAGCTCGATAAAAGAGTGCAGATGAATGTTCATATTGGTTTAGAACATCAACAAACCTGTGGTCAACATTTCCCAAATGTCATTAACAAATGTCGGCAGAACAAAAATAAGAAACAAAATAAAGTGAAAAGCATGTACCCATCTCAAGAGCCGATTCAACAGCTGGTAGAGTAGCCAATAAAAGATCGTGATGTTCCTGCTCCCAGTTAAATGGGATCAAAGTGTCATTCAAATAATCAAACTTCCACTGCATATAAATACTTAAAACATATATGTATGGACAGTTGGACACACATAACCAAAGATAAAGGTACAAACAAATTAGAGAAAGCCTGAAAACATTACTTTAATTGTCAGATACAAAGGTATAGGGACAACAAATGCAACTTCAGGATATTTGCAGACACATGATAAAAATTGTGAGAATCACACAGAATGTGCCAGGTATAAATTCAAGGTACATTGAGATGCTTTCTAGCCATCCAGACATAAATTAACTAATTTAAGGGAGTGCCAAAGAATCACTGCAGTGCAAATGCACAGAAGCTTAGGTTTCAGAATGATTACCTGTAAGGGAACACGAATTTCCTGTACACGAGATGCAAATAAACTGAGACTGACAGCCAACTCCATGCCCTTCCTTTCTTCACCACCAATTGCAGCAGCATCATGAAAATCTCCCCGTGTCCATTCCACAAGCGGGTCCCAAACAAACATTTCCAGTAACATCAAGAGTATGTCTTTGTTCTTCCTCAAAACACCAATAACTGCTTCACAGTTTGACCTAAAGGTACCTTCTATCCCCATCATCCCTAATGCTGCTTCAATGGTCTGTGTAAGGCGGAAGGGAACAATTTCTGGAATTTTCAGTCTTTGCCCTTTATCAAAACAGACATTGTAATCAATATGGACTACATCACCACTACAAAAATCCATTAGAATATTATCCAAGTGTCTATCCCCAAGGCCAAGAATGTGGCCCACCATGCTCATGGCACAAACACTTCCAGAAAACCTACAAAATGAAGTACACATTAAAAGCTAAATCTACAATATACATTATATTTTATTTATGAAACAAGAGTGTCTGATCGCCCAAAAAAACTAATAGTCGAATACCACCATATATTAGAATGAATAAAAGCTATACTATACTGGAAAAAGGAAGATAAACTGATCATTAAGCCGAGCATCACTAATTTGTACTCCAATGTTTATATATAGATATATAGATATATATATATATATATGTGTGTGTGTGTGTGTGTGTGTGTGTGTGTGTGTGTGTTACCCTGTTCTCGTAACTCCATGAGCCGTATACCTGCTGACGGTATATGCGATTTGAGAGAGTGGATACCACATGAGACATCGCCTTTGAATAATAATATATATGCTAAAATAAGAATGCTCTAATGTATGATGACTAGTTTGAAGAACAGGAAGCTCCACCAACAATACAATTAATAGAACCGAAGCAGGTTGTTAAGCTTAGTAAATTATATAAATTAATGCAACGAAGATTATTAGTACAGGAACGAAGAGCTTTTCCAGGGTCTTAGTTACCTCTTCTGTTTCGAACTGAAGGCTTTGAATCCTTCACGAGCACACCAAAGTTCTTGATGAAGAAGCTGTCTAGGAATCTCCTTCATAAGTTCCAAAAGAACTTTACGCTTCACCTCATGAGGCCAGTCTCTTCGTGAAATTACTCTCCTTATACCTTTCTCTTTGAGTGCTGGTATGATTTTACCATAGAACATATCACTGGGTCGGGGAACAGCTGGAGGAACCGGACTTTTCGAACTGCCACCACCCACTGCTGAGAGATGAGCTAGTTGGATGCGGCTTTGCCAAGACTTAAAGACGCTGTAAATACTAATTATATTGTCTACCCACTGGATGGGACCAGCACGGCCACTAATTGGAGTCACAAAATAATAGCGAATACCAAGAAAGTGGCTGTGAGTTGCAAGAGATGTATGCAGGAAACCATTTATGGCTTGCAAGAGCTGCATAAGAAAATTACAAATCGTAAATTTTCAAATTTTTCCCAGGCGAGAAATTCAAACAATCGCTTGTGAAATGTATGAAACACATCTCATTTTTTAATTACGTTGTTCTTTGATTTTGTGTGTATAAAGAAAACACAAAATACCCCATTCTCTCATCCCTTTAACGAAGAAATCCATACCGCAGTCAAGTAAAGAAACCTTCATCTTCCTGTTCCCACCCTTGCTCCCCTCGCACCTCCCTCCAAAAATCTTCTTCTTCCCGTTCCCACCTAGGATGCATGGACACGGACACGGATACGGAAATACGATACGATACGATACGACACGGGGACACGTCAAATTTCTAAAAACAAAAGACACGATACGTCAAGGATACAGCAATTAAAAATATATATAAATAAATAAATGTATCTAAAATATTATAAAATAAGCATTCAAATTTATTACCCAAACTTAAATTTATTTCAATAAACTCTATACAGAAAGATAAGCGAAAATAAAATAAGCATACAAAATATAATAATAATATTATATCCAAAAAGCAAAATGGGCTTTAAGTTTTTCCAATTTACATAACACAAAAGATGAGCTAAAAGTCATTGAATCAGTCAAAGCAAAAGAATCTTTTAGCTTCGAAGTTGAAAACAGAAAAGCAGGCTTGCTTTCAGTTTCAGATATGGGTTCTGGGAATCAGATTGAGCTTCAAAATTAACAACGTGAAAACGAAGTCGAAAGCTCTCACCAGCAGTTGTAGATGGAGACGATGGAGATGACGGAGCAGTTGCAGACGGAGACGATAGAGACGACGGACGGACGGAGCAGTTGCAGACGACAAGTCTGATTTATGAGGTTCGAAATCATTTTGGTTTTTAGTCAAACAATTGTTTCAGTTTAGCTAATTTGAATCAATCATGATTCTGTGAGGATTTATTGGATTCTTTTTTCTCTGATTATCCTTTGATTTAGTTTGAAACGTATCCGAAAAGTATGATACGCGTATCTCATCAATAAACAACGTATCCATTCGTTCGGATACGTATCAAGCCCGTATCCATGCGTATCCTATGCGTATCCGTATCCCTGCATGTCAGATATGGGATACGCTGGCTTTTCCCCGTGTCCATGCATCGTAGGTTCCCACTGATGCTCACCTCCCACCTTCTTCCGGACGGAAGACACAGGTTCGTTTGAGCCATATGAGCTCGAAACAATTGTAGGAGGATTACTAAGCATGAGGAAGATCATGCGAAGAACATCGGATCCTTAAAGAGAAAATTGAAAAGGGCTCGTCGACTCATGGAGATGTTAATGGCAAAAGAGATCAAGAAGTTCATGTCATCCGAAGTGCACAATCACTCGTTGGGCGAGCAATACAAACAAGGCTTTCTGTCAGGACTCAGTGAGGGGTTTGAGATATTTCACCGCTATGCATGAAAGTGGATGTGAACGGGAAGTGGGCGACCGTTGACTACTACAAGGTACTTGCCGTTGGGGCTACTTGCCATGGATAATTTGAGCTCTTTTGTGGGTCCTTCAAATTTGTTATATTTTGACATTCCACGTGTGGTTTGTCATAAGAAGGACCTTAATGTTTAATTAGTTCAATATTATCTACATACATTAATGGAACTCCGCTATTGTTTCCAAAGTTGCTTTTTTAGGACATTTCATGGTCAAGTCATGTGCATGTTATGCACATGCCATCAACAAGACATGCACACAAATTGCTGCACTAGGAAGCCTTATAAGTACCAATATAGCACAAGGCCCTTGATTGCTAAGTAATAAAGTAAAGATTAGATACTCAATACTGAAACCATGTAATTACAAAGTGTACTAAAAATTACACTAACACGCTAAGTATAACCAATGGCAACAAAAGGCCCTTAATAGCTAAGTAATAAAATTAAGAATACATAATGAATATTGAAACAATGCAATGGGAAAGTGTACTAAAATTACAATTACATACTAAGTACTCAAATTACAATTTGAATGGTAACCCAATTGTTTGGTTATCACAAGAAAACTACTGAAATAAACGGTGTCCACATAATCCTTCACACAAATGCACAACCTCTGATAAACTTGATGGCAAACTTGAGTCTAAAAAAAGCCATGTTCTAAGGTGGTCAATGTCCAAGCCCAATGATAGGTAGTTGACAAATTTGAGTAAGAAAACTCCACAATCTGCCCTACTAGAAAAGAACAACTCCAGGTTACAACACACTAGGTATTTAAGACATTTACAGTTACGTTAGAGATAAGTACGAAAGGAACATACCCATTGTTTTGTTGGCTGCAATTAGTTCTCGTCTGAATGTCATACGCTTTATCCATCGCTTTCGAGATTAGCTTCAAATCACTTCGCACAGCCTGGAATCCCATCACCTTTAGAAGTTGGGGTATTACGAAACACATATGAGCAAGTTGTTTCTTCATTTTTTCCCACCCCGACCTTGACAAATGTGAATCATAGATCGTGATCGTGTGATATACAAGATGGACATCAACCAACATCCAATGGTCATCATTCATGTGTACTCCTCTGTCACTTCTAAGAACTTTGATTAGAATGAAGGAAAAAAAAATTTCCTAACTAAGAACATACAGGAACATTGAACACATAAGCATATACATAACACTTTAAAGTAGACATGGATTCAAAACAATTCTAAAAACCATGACTTTCAAAGCTTAGTAAATGGTGAACCATAAGACACTTTAACAAATTAAAGAAAAGAGAGAGTTTGAGTTTCATTACCCTTAAAGCTCATCCTTGTTTACAAGGGATTTACTCAAGTGGAGGGCCTTCAAGTCGCCTCCTTGCTTCTTGGATATTTGCTAGTGAATGGACATTCCCAATTAAACTATTTATTGTTTATCCATCTTATTTACATTTCTTCATTTTCATCCTTACTCGGCGCATGATCCATTTGGTTCCAATTAACAAGGTTATGGGCGACTGTTACTCTTAACTATCAATTGTGAATTGAAACCGCACACCAATTCTCTCTTTTATAAAGATCAGTGTTTGCTAATCTTCAGAGTTTCCACGAACCATGAGTGATAACTAGCAGCATCTCATGGCTACTGATGAGTCCATATTATACTATTTATTTTACTCTAATCTTAGTATTAATTTATTAATTATTTTGGTAGAATTTTGATACTTTGTTATATATTTTCAATGCAGGACATTAGACTTCCTCTGGAGCAAAAAGTGATCAAAATGATGAATTTTGGAGTAATTCTAATGGGAGGATGTTTGTGTGCCTTTCAACATGATTGTGTCAAAATTTCAGATTTTTCTACCAAGCCGTTTGACCCTGGTGATGAAATAAAGGCCCAGCGCGCAGCTTTCCCAGATTGACGTTTTGGACGTTTTGGGTATTTTGGAGGTCAAGATGACGTATTTTGAGGAAGATTCCTTCTGAGGATTTGTAGGAGACGTCTTTAGATTTCAAAAAAGACCTTTTGGGACCAAATCGGAGTTGATTTGATCGGTCAAAAGTGTGATTTTCTGAGAACTCCGAATTCTACTTCAAATACGAAACCTTTTATTTTCTGTTTTATCATTTAATTATGTTTCCTAGTTTTATTCTAAGACCTTTTACTAGGAGGATTTTAATTAGAGTAGTATAAATAAGGCTTGTTAGCCATTAGGGTTCTCTACGCAACATAGGGGAGAACGTACGTGGAGAATTTAGCTAGGCTTTGACACTTTGTATTTTCAAGGTGTTTTCTATCCATATTTTTAATAATATTTTGTTTTATGGTTGTTCGTAGCTAATTTTCATTTGCTAGGGCGATGCCTTGAGCCTTAGCATGAATATGTAGTTTTTATTTAATTGCTTATGATTATACATGCATACTTTGAATTATTAATCACTGTGCTTTAAATTGTCTCTATATCTCAATGCTTAGCTACCATTAGGATGTTTAGATAAGTAATCGGATGCAATTCAGTTGGAATGCCACCGAGGAATTGAGTATTGCTTCTTGTGATTGATAGTTGTAAGTTCACCTAGGGCGAATGTCACGTCATAAGGGTTGCATGGTTTTTCAAAGGGTTTTCACAAAGCATAATGAGTCATGCATGTTTATATTTGATTTGAATGCCACAAACAGATTGCAAGTTTGATATACGTTCTAGCTTGAATGCCACAAGTAGAATATGCATAAGGAAAACCTAACCTTCAGAGTTGCATGTGTAATTCGTAAGTAATTGGTATATCTACATAGGACTGTTAAGGGGACGGCGAAACCCTAGGCTTTTACAATTTGGTTTTCAAAACGTTTTCTTTTGTTTTCTTTACTTTGCTAATGTCTTTAACCTTTTTAATTAAATTCGTTTTCATTATTTTTAAATCCAAAACCAACCTCTTCCAATCTTTGTTTTCAAATAATTAATTAAGATTTGATATTTACATAAATTAGTCATTCAATCCCTGCAGAAAATGACCTTGCTTGAGCTGCTATACTACGACAACCTTGTTCTCTTGCAAGTATTTTTAAGTGTTTTTATCTCTACTTTTGCAAGTGGTAAAAATTCCTCTCAGTTACCCAAGCTAAGTAGAAGTGGTTGGAGAACCAATCTAGTTACAACTACAATGCAATACGGTCCATTCTCTAATACCATAGTCTTGATCACATTGTTTATGTAATAGTTTGTTTCATGTCTACTATCCAATGTGATACTTCTATCTGTGATTCAATTGAATATGATTTGGAACATTCTTCATAAGTCATATTCATATGCTTTTGCAAAAGACTCTTGAATCATATCTAAGAGTATTCTCCTTCCACCATGGAAGGTTAAAGATTCCTTGTTGTGCATTCACATGCCTACATGACTGGATACCCAAAAATGCCTTGGACACTCTCAATGGAATGTCTTGACATAGTCAAAGGACCTAACCATTACACAATTATGATGCCTCAGGTCAAAGTTTACTTTGCTTATTGCAACTTATGAGTTTTTACATGGCATATATGTTTGAACTCTCTTTTGATCATAGTTTAGTGTACTCGATTACCCTTTTGAGCACCTATGT